ATGTTCTGTAATACTTACTATACAAAATTAATAGAGTAATATAAGAGTAATATAATAATACACAGCTTCAGGTACTACTTCGTGTCCATATCATACAGTTCAGATATCTAGACGGTCCGTCCCTCGTAACGATCTTCAGGAGTGAAGTGCTTCCCCATTTGGAGTACTGTCACCCCATCTGGTCCCCGAGATATGCTAGGGACTGTCAGTTGGTTGAAAATGTTCAAAGGAGGGCCACCAGACTGGTGCCTGCACTTCGGCACCTCAGCTACCCTGAGAGATTGGAGCGCCTGAACTTTCCTAGCTTACACTACAGACAGGCAAGGGAGGACCTAGTTGAGGTGTATAAGCATCTCAAGGGGCACTACTCAGTCGAGTGTCCTTACTTGGGGCTGGAGGACGCTCGCCCCACAAGGGGTCACAGCTCAAGATTGAAGAAGCCGCAAGTCCAGAAAACTGTGAGGGCAAACTTTTTCAGAGTGTGTAACAGAGACGTGACCGACTGCCCATGCGGCTAACGAGCCGATGAGTGAAGAGGATAAAAGTAACAAAAATAAAGTAAATAAGCGCGGGTAATCTGTATTTAGTGCAGCAAGGACCACTGTATGAATTATATTTTATTTCCACCTCTAATTGTTTAATGGATCATCATAAGTTCTTTCTTTCTCATCATATAGTAATTTCTCCTTTAATGAGGTGATGCTTCTCCCCAAATGCCTGATGAGGATAAGCCACAGTTGTAGGAAATAACAATTTTGGTGTTCCAATTTCCATGTTGCACACTCTTGGTCACCTGTGTTCTCACAGATGCTAAAACTGGCTTTTAATACTCAACACATAACTGTACAACGGTAAAAACGAACAGCATAGAAGCGTAATGTTTTATTTTTCATTTATAATCAGATATTAGTTCATACAAAAGTAGCGACTCTATTTCTGACAAACAGACTCACAAACTGTTTTACTGCAAGTGTACATAAATAAAACAGCATTCCAGCCTTAAGGTGGAACAGACAATGTTTGCAGACAATAGTAAAAAAATATAGAGGAGTAGAGAAGAGTACAGTAGTAAATGGAAGAGAAGGTGAGAGATGAATGATGCCTGCAGTAGAGGAGGACCACCACACACTGTCTTGTTTGGATCAAGTTAAGGAGACATTAATACAAGTCTCAGATGAACCTGACCAGTTTATCATCTGACTTTACGATGGACATTTTCCATAGTCTGGTTACTGTATTCATATTTACACTTGAACTTAAAATATTATTAGTTACAACAGACAAACATTAAATTGGTCTTTAAAGTGTAGCTTTTTTATTTTCTAGTAATTATTAGTCATCAACTTGAATATTAGATACAAATTTTTGTTTAATCTTGAGTCTTACATACATTTTCAAGACATCTTTGTTTTTACATAAATATTTTCTCACTGGACAATCCCTGACACACCATAACACAGGCAGTGTGTTGCCCTGCCCACAGGTGCCTCATTAACCCCTTTACAATATATAATGTGTTTTAAAAAAGGTATGTTCTTAAAAATGAAAATGTGTGTGTGTGTGTGTGTGCTACCTTCACTGAGTAGAAAAACAGCCCTCGGCCTCAGACCAAAGCTGATACTTTCCACCATCCTATAACTCGGTCCGGACCATCAGTCGTTTTCGTTGCTCAACAAAATTCATCACCACTGTGAAGCAACCCCACGATGGCATGAACGACAATGTCCTGAATAATGACACCCATTTTGAGTTTTTCCCCATTTACCCAGGCTACCTTCCTTACTCATGCCAGTGCCAAATTATTCGGCAGGGTGGTCATCCAGTATCAGATGCTAGGGACTGTCAGTTGGTTGAAAATGTTCAAAGGAGGGCCACCAGACTGGTGCCTGCACTTCGGCACCTCAGCTACCCTGAGAGATTGGAGCGCCTGAACTTGCCTAGCTTATACTACAGACGGGCAAGGGGGGACCTAGTTCAGGTGTATAAGCATCTCAGGGGGCACTACTCAGTTGAGTGTCCTTACTTGGAGCTGGCGGACGCTCGCCCCACAAGGGGTCACAGCTCAAGATTGAAGAAGCCGCAAGTCCAGAAAACCGTGAGGGCAAACTTTTTCGGAGTGAGGGTTGTAAACTCTTGGAACAATCTACCAGAGAGTGTTGTGACGGCACCGAGTGTGAGCTCTTTCAAGAAAAGACTTGACCAACACTGGAGCAGGTTCAGGTACATTCAGGAGCCGGTGCATGCCCAGTATTTGCCAACAGTGCGTGACAGAGACGTGACCGATCGCCCGGGCGGCTAGCGAGCCGATCAGTGGTGAAGAGGATAAAAGTAAAGTAAAAGACTCTTTTATCATATAACAACTCAGAGCAGGAACAAAGGTGTCGGCAGCTTCCATCACTGAACTTCAGTATGCAGACGACCTCACCCTTGTCACTCACACTGAACACGACCTACAGGAGATCCTGAACAATTTCAGATACATATACTGTACATCCTTCAGCCTGGAGGTGAACGTATGCAAGATACAGATTCAATTCTAGCCCGCCTTTGGTTGTCATGTCTCCACCATCCATCAAGATTAACGGGACTACCGTCTCCAGAAAATGGACCACATCCAGTACTTTGGCTCCTACTAGTTTAAAACCACAGATATTGACGAAGAGATCCAACATCGGATCAGATGCGCATCTCAAGCCTTTGGCAGACTCTGTACTCGTGTCTTCAGCTGTAGGGAGCTGAAATTATCTACAAAGCAGCGCATATATCAAGCAGTAGTCCTCCCCACCCTGCTATATGGTAGAACTTTCACCAATGTGGTCTACGTTCCATCCTCCGAGGCAGCTGGCAAGATAAGAGAATAAATGCCAGTATTCTTGCTGACACCAACTGTAGGAGCATCGAGGCTACCATTATCCATGAACAACTACGTTGGACTGGCCATGTTACCCGCATGAACGACAGTAGACTGTCAAAGCAGATACTTCACAGTTACCTAACGAACAGTAAACTTAATGCTGGCTGGCAACTGAAAAGGTATAAGGATAGTCTTGAGACAAACCTGAAAAAGTGCCAAATCGACCCCCTCACCTGGGAGACGATCACTCCACATCGTAACGCTTGGAGGAGCACCACACGAGGTGTCACTGCTTTCGAGCCCAACTGCATACTGAGGCAGACAAGCGCCAGTACCAGAAAGATGCTACTCCTGCTCCTCCCGCATTAGATGGAACCATCGACACATGCAATATCTGTGGACAGCCCTGCCGGTCTCGTATCAGCCTTTTGCGTCATCAACGAAGGTGACGTCACTAATAACATATATCACTGTGTCGTCGCTGGATGAGAGTCATACTCAATTATGAATTACAACAAAGTAGTAGTAGTAGTAATAGTAGTGTGTGTGTGTGTAAACCAATGTTCTAATTTACGAATAATGACACAGTTTAATAGTTAATTAAAAATATAGAGTAGAAAGACCTAATAAAAGGTATACTATATAAATATAAGAGTCTATGTTTAATGCCTTCTTATCAAACCTCTTCTTTTGGACATCATAACTGGTGAATTATTCAGTAATATTGCCAAAGATATTTGTGATACAGAACCGAGTGTAAGAGGAGTGAAGATGGAGACAGAAAATGCAAGACACATAACAAAGTCAAACTGTATTCATACTTCTACTGGTTTCATATTTACAATTTCTGGACGGATTTGCAGACTGATTTTTTACATATACAAATTGGCTTCCATGTGGTAAATAAACCAACCTTCACACACTTTTAAGACATTAAACAATTGGCAAACATTCCATGGTTTATAGTTGTTCCCCAACTCAGTGGTGTGGAACAGATGCAGCAGCGTCTAATAGCAAATTGCATCAGCCTTTGTCTCGTGAGGAACATTAAATATATTTGTTAACTTCATATTGCACCAAAGTCTTAAGGTATAATCTTATCCTAGTAAATACATGATGAACTTCACAAGTTTTATATGTACAACTTTGTGTCAATCTCCTCCTTACAAGTGTCAGATAATAAAAAAAATCACTAATTAGTCATTAAGACGACATTTAAAGTTACATATAAAGAAATACACTTCAGAGCCGTACAGTACAATTACTTACACTACATTTCAGTAACCAACTCAGTTTACCAAATAGTGTATCAATTACTACTCCAACAATATGCTGAAATAACTAAAGGAATTGTGCAGTTTTGAGCCACATCACAGTACAGTATTTATGATGACAGTAATATTTAACCTTGTGAGCAATAACATGTACAGCTTCTCTTTATCACTCCCAAAACATTAACTCCAGGAAAACTTCATACACAAATATTAAATTTAATATGGTGGTACAAGAGAATAGGTTACAAACATACTGTATAACAATCAACATACAGTACTCCATTTATATTTTCTGTACTTTACTGTAATTAAGCAAGTAATTACTCCTATTGGATCTGCCTTAGGTATGTGTGTTTTCACCATCCCTAGTGGGCCATGGGTTCGAATCCTAGCGGGTTGAGGTGTTGATTGTATGTAGAAGTCCGCGTGCTATTGGGCTAATGAAATATATATATATATATATATATATATATATATATATATATATATATATATATATATATATATATATATATATATATATATATATATATATATATATATATAAATAATCAACGACCTCACCAGCCAGTTATTTCGACCTACTGGGCTAGTCCCACCCAGTAGGTCGAGGGTTCGATTCCTGGCTGGTGAGGTCGTTGATTATATATATGTTCAAAGTCCGCATGTTATATGGACTAAAATTGAAGTATATATATGGTACCTCGTGTTTCATACCAGCTGGATTCGGTAAAATGCTACTGACACCACATAAGAGGCACGGGCAGTTCCCAATGAGGTTCACGGCGCCATCAGCTCGATGAACAGGCTTTGTGTGAAATATAACAGAGTCTAATACTGCTTTTAGTGTCCTTGTGGGTTGGTCGGTAGCGTTCCCTAGTCCCACCCAGTAGGTCGAGGGTTCGATTCCTGGCTGGTGAGGTCGTTGATTATATGTTCAAAGTCCGCGTGTTATATGGACTAAAAATGTATATATTCTGTTCACAAGAGCATTACAGCTGAGGCAGATTTTATCAAAGCAGCAAGAAAGATTGGTGGAATGAAGTACAGTACGTTGGCTTCATTTAGATGAAGCTTTTCAATTTCTAATATATTTTCTTTATATTCTCTAGCTTCAAGTAATATTAACAATTAAGTGTTGATCTAAAATGATATCTTAAGTCAGGGAGGTAAACATTAGCACGAAGAACACAGATATATTACAGTATAAGTGACAAAGTTGAAAAAGATCAGTGGTTTTTGTTGTTATTTAGGCACCATCGCCGCCCATATTCACCAGACGAGTCTCGACCAATCACGAGCTTCCTTTGATTTGGCCCGGTTGCAACCTTGGAATGAACAGAGTATACTTCTGTGACACAGGTGTCTAGTTCTGTAACAGTTCTGTAATATATTGTCTAGTTCTGTAACAGTTCTGTAATATATTGTCTAGTTCTGTAATAGTTCTGTAACACAGGTGTCTAGTTCTGTAACAGTTCTGTAACATGAGTGTCTAGTTCTGTAATAGTTCTGTAACACAGGTGTCTAGTTCTGTAACAGTTCTGTAATATATTGTCTAGTTCTGTAATAGTTCTGTAACACGAGTGTCTAGTTCTGTAACAGTTCTGTAACATATTGTCTAGTTCTGTAATAGTTCTGTAACACGAGTGTCTAGTTCTGTAATAGTTCTGTAACACGAGTGTCTAGTTCTGTAACAGTTCTGTAACATATTGTCTAGTTCTGTAATAGTTCTGTAACACGAGTGTCTAGTTCTGTAACAGTTCTGTAACATATTGTCTAGTTCTGTAACACGAGTGTCTAGTTCTGTAATAGTTCTGTAACATATTGTCTAGTTCTGTAATAGTTCTGTAACATATTGTCTAGTTCTGTATAATGAGTGTCTAGTTTTGTAACATTACTGTTTAATTTTGTAACATCTTGGTGTCCATCTTGAAAAATAGTTACAATAAATTCAAGTGAGTTCACTATGTGTAAGGCTTCATCAATTACTTCACCACACTGTATGGGTCATCAACACCCCCTAACTATTTCACCACTTTGCTGGCTTAATACACATGACGCCTCTCCTAAATAATGAACAAGTTTATATCATATGTTGCATCCCAAGCTGACCCATTACTGGATGGAGATTTTACAAATAATCAGGTTTTGTAATTTCAGAAATACGAAAAATGTAAATGAAAAAAAATAAATAAACTACGAAAAAACAAAAATTATATAAATAGATTGTATGGTTAACCTTATAACATGCATTTAACTGTTACCTGAAAAATAAAATGGCCAGTGTGTCGACTAAGTGATCTCAATGTTGGATATAAGAACCTCGAGTCAATACATACACAGCTCACAACACAATATACATGGAGTCAAAACGTGTGTGTTATCAGTTGTTTTCTCAGGAAGTAACACTAATAAAGTTTCTACAATCTTCTACACACACAAACAGGAAGCAAAAAATTCCTTTGTTTCTTGTAGAGGAACATGATACAGTACAGCCCTGTTAAAGGATCTGTCATTGCGTTTTTGTTCATAAACTTACATAGGTCCAAAGAACTTTTCTCCTTTGGTATAATATAAGGAAACGGCTACAACAACACCGACAAAGACAGAAATGGCTAAGATCAACAAGATGATGGCGTAACACCGTCTCCGTTTCTTTCTCGCCACTGATCGTCGGCGGAGTTTGGCTGAGCGGCGTAGGTCCAGTGTGAAGTCATGGCACGTCCCAGGACTCTGAAGGATAAAATATTTAAGGATTAAAGATCAATATATGTAATTAAAACAGCAATTCTCAAGAAGTAATTTCTAAAGCTTGTAATTAGTTAATGTTAAGTTAGTTTACCTTTGGGTTTGGTTAGTTTAGCACTGGGTTACGTAAGGTTAGCATTAAGTTAAGTTGGGTTGGGTTGGATTAGGTTCACATTGAGTTGAATTGGGTTAGGTTAGTGTTAAGATGAGTTAGGTTGGGTTGGGTTAGGTTAGCGTTGGGTTGGGTTAGCATTGGGTTGGGTTAGCGTTGGGTTGGGTTAGGTTAGTGTTAAGATGAGTTAGGTTGGGTTGGGTTAGGTTAGCGTTGGGTTGGGTTAGCATTGGGTTGGGTTAGCGTTGGGTTGGGTTAGGTTAGTGTTAAGATGTTAGGTTGGTTAGCTAGTTGGGTTGGGTTGGGTTAGCGTTGGGTTGGGTTGGGTTAGGTTAGTGTTAAGTTGGATTGGGTTGGGTTAGCGTTGGGTTGGGTTAGCTGGAGGGGCTTACTCCTATAACAATGGGTGAACCTACATTACAAAAGGGTGCCTGGCTGTTAGGGTGAGGAGACAGGTGGCGGGGGAGAGTTCGGTCCATACTTGCTGTCCCATAGTAAGTTTCCCATAGTTTTTGTCGTTTCCCTCGGCCCACAGTCCCCGACGGCGCCTCCTGTAAAGTTATGCAAGTGACTAAGTGCTCCTCACCAGGTTCTTAGACAAATGGCATTGGAAACTTTGCCTGGAGGTTTCACCATAGGATTTAGCGAAACAGCTTGTGTGTAAAGGCTGTATTGGTTACCTGTACGACTTGTTAACTTTCCACAATCTACCCTGGTCACTGTCCAACTGACTCACTCTTGGTAATATAATCAATTGACAGATTAGGTAACTCTTGATAATAAAGATCCTGTCTTACCCATACAGATTATTTTCACGGGTATTAGTCATGCCTTTGTTATAGGTGTGGAATATCTTCTTTCATGCATCCAAACATGAAACATTACATTGGTTCTCTGAGTAACACAAGTAATAATTCAGGGTAAGAAAGTTCCATTACCAGTAACTTCAACACCAACAACGTATTACTTGCTTATGTCCTCCACCAGGCAGCTCCTTTGTAAGGAGGAGGTGCTACAGTAAGCTACAGGATCACTCAAACAAACCACCCATTGGGAGTGGACCATTTTTTATGTACAGTCTCACCCAAAAGTTCGCTAACTCTCCCAGCCAGCTATTGTTGCACTGCCTGCTTCAGATGTTTGAACTTGAGTATGTTACTTCGAACCTTTACAGTAGATTCATTCGTATCGGTTTCATGTTCTGGTTGATACTGAGACAGTTTCAAACATCTGAAGCAGGCAGTATAGCAATAGCTGGCTGGGAGGGTTAACCAAGTCTTGGGTGAGACTGTACCAGCTAAGAAGGCAAGTGGAAGTTGCTACTGTGAGAGTGGGTTGGGGCTAGGAAGGGCATCTAACCGCCATAAAACCTGTAATAAATTTACTTGATGTTGTGCCCTAACAAACACTGTACAGTTACTGTACTGTACAATGCTACCTTCCTCTCCCTTATTGCACTGATCTCTGAACCTCCCATCATAAGCCGTCGATCATTATAGCTGCAAGTATCTGACCACCTCTGTCCTGTCAAGAATGAGTCAAGTAAATACTTCTGATACATGAACCAAGTACAGGGTGGGCACCTGTAGGGATCCAGCCTAGTAACTTACTCACATTTAATGATCGCAGGTAGACCTCAGCCATGTCAATATTCGTATTATTACCCACTCTGTATATGTGTTTTTCTGGCTAAATAAACTGTTTCAATTAAAAAAATAACTGATTCAAAGGTCAACCGATGTTGTTGACTTAGACCTGCCTTGTGTAGTCAGTTGTATACAGTGTGATGGCTCAGTGGCATCACTGCACGCACGTAAGAGTACACACACACACACACACACCATCGCAGAATACCCCTCTCATTCCTCCCCTTCATATCATATGACCTCATATTGCTTTTCGTTTCCCAGGTTTCGAAGTTCTCCAACGGAGATTTTGAGTGCCTGATCAAGTGTTGGTGGTACAGCGGTAACGCATATAACTCTCACCAATATGTCAAAGGTTCGAGCCTCGGCCCGGACACACGTCAGAAGGGTGTTATCCAGTGTGACTCTCACTATCAAACACCACAGGTTTACCGGTCCCCGGTTTCCTCCTGTACTAACACTGGATAGACCGTCCAAACGGCTAGTAAGCTGATAAGTGGCCAATATGATACTAAGAAGAGAGGGAGTGATGAGGATCCTATCCTATACTTCGTGTGTCCAGAAGATGTCGTCAAGGTTGAGCATCAAGGTCACATCAATACGAGACATGGCGGAACAGATAAAATGATAAAAGGGATAAAGAAAAAGTATGCAAACATCACAAAGGAAGTACTGTCACTGTTCAAAGAACTAAACGAAGAGTCTCAACTCAAAAAGAAAAACTTTGTAACAAGGCATTGCAGTAAAATCTCTGATGCTCAAAGAACTGAACTCAAGGGGTCAGGTTGACCTAAATGATATGCAGTCTATAAGGTATGAGGACTAAAAGTTTATACGGCAATGCATTATCAGGACCACCTTATGAAATTTTCAGTGGTAAGGCCATTAAAGTCAAAAGGTGCGCCTCACATCCTCCAGAGTGACAATGGTCGGGAATTAACAGCTACAGTGATTAGTGAGATAAAAGATTTGTGGCCAGCCTGCATGGTAAACCACGGCACCCACAGTCCCAAGGAAGTGTATAACGTACTAATGCGGACGTTAAGGACATGCTCATAGCGTGGATGCGGGATAAGGACACGAAGAACTGGGTAGTTGGCTGGAAATTTGTACAATTCACAAAGAACACAGCCACCACCCCGACACCCACGGACCTCCTTACAGAGTGGTTTGGGTGTGACGCAAAAATGGTATTAGTATTATCATCACTACCACAGGAGGTGAGGAGTGTCAAGAGGAAAGAGAGAGGTGAGGAGTGTCAAGAGGAAAGAGAGAGGTGAGGTGTGTCAAGAGGAAAGAGAGAGGTGAGGAGTGTCAAGAGGAAAGAGAGAGGTGAGGCGTGTCAAGAGGAAAGAGAGAGGTGAGGTGTGTCAAGAGGAAAGAGAGAGGTGAGGCGTGTCAAGAGGAAAGAGAGAGGTGAGGCGTGCCAAGAGGAAAGAGAGAGGTGAGGTGTGTCAAGAGGAAAGAGAGAGGTGAGGAAATGTGATCTTAATTTACCTGTAGAGGCGAGCAGGTGCAAAGGGACTACAAAAAATCTAATCCAGAAAATGGCAAGGAACACAAATAAGGTTCTAAGAGCAGTAGAAATTGCATCCACCCACAGTGTTGGTACAGTACCCACTCCCCATGTAGATCACCAAATCTAAAAAACGGTTATAAACTTGCTACAAAATATGGAGCAATTATCAGTCATTAAACACCTGCACAATTTGAAGCCTGTGAAAATAATTTGCTGTCAACTAACACTGTTGAGCTTGAAAAAGAATTAACTCTCAGACAGACAATACCTTTTTTCTGTTCAAGGATATTCAATATGTAATTGTGCCTTAGATATTAAGACCAGTTGCTGTTCAGAACGGTGTCTCAGAGAAATGTGATCAGCAGTGTACCAGTAAATGTCATCCTAACTTGAAATGCAAAAATAAATAGAATAACATCAACAATATGACTATTGTTAAGAATAGTGTCAATTATGGTGTGTGTAATAAGGTTTAGTTTTGCTGTATGCCGATGTCATCTTAACTTAATCTGTTAAACTAAGCAGATTTATCATAATATCTTCCTTTTTAGTTCTTGTCTGTGTCATAAGGTTCTGTTTGTACAATAAAGTCATCGTGAAAGTAATTGTATTTTATGAAACAGTCAATAGTCATTAACCTGCAATAGCCAATTCGTTATATTTTCTTAGTTTTCTCAGGCACTTAACTAATTACCTCTTTTACAGTAATTATGAGGTCTTTAACATGCCTGGTGGCAGTGTATGGACACACACCGCCCATAAGAGACCCAGAAGTCTTCTAGAACAGACTCTAGATCAAACAAGAAGTAGATGAGCTACACTATGAAGAACACATCAACCATGACCCAAGGGAATCTTTGACACGGATCCTATTAGTTTAAAAAAAACTGTTACAATGATCAAGTACCAGATGTATAGGACACAGGTCGCTTAGTTAGTGTGAAGGATGGATAAGACAGAGGCACATGAGGGAGACCTTCTCAAAGACACTGGTGATACAATCTATTAAGTTGCTTTTAATAGAATTTTCTTACCTGAAATCTGTCTCGGTAGCTTTCCGAAATGGCCCATATGCCTTTGTGGTCGGTATCGTTGGCTTCTTGGTTCATGGGCCTCGTAATGACCTCCTGAAGCCGCCTTCCTTCCATGGACTCTACATCATCGTCATGAAAGATCTTGAGGGCCCCACCAGGGAGAGGTGGAGAGCGTCTAGCACCACGGTGGCTGCCCCCCACCCCACGCTCCAGGCTGCCTGGGTTGACAGTATCAGCAGTAAACTTGACCCGCCGCTCCTGCTTGTTGTCCTCAAAGTCTTCCACAACAATATCGTCCAGGTCTAGCCACTGCATGCGGTGTAGAGGAGCACCCTGAAGCTTCTCACTGATTTTCTTCTGGAATGCTGCAAGTTTATCTGGATCTAGGAATCTGTTGGCTGGCATGAGGGGTTTACCATTGTGGTGGATGATGGGTGGCGGGCTGGGGTATCTCGGGCGGCCACTGTCATCAAGGAAGGCGGGGTTGTCAATACCCTCTAGTACAACATCGCCTATCTCAGCGTAACTGCCAGAAGGGTTAGTTTCAAGGGATGGGTGACTAGTGGTATCCTTGGTCTCGAAGCTGTTGAGTTCTTCGTAAGTGTTAGAGGTTGCGTTGGTTGAGGTGGTGTTGTCGCTGGGTAGTCGATGGAGGTGTCCTTCATTAACCACTGTTGAGCTAAAGCTTCTCAGTTGCTCTACACTACTTCCTTCAGACAATCTTCTTGACGGATCCTCCTCGGACTGGTCTAACAAGTCATCAACATTTACTATAAGTTTTCTACCGTTAGTCTTTAAACCACTTTTTTCCCATAAATCTTTCACTGCTATTAAACCTCTCTTTTTGGCGCAGCTCTTGTGGTTAGAAACAGCAATGTCGAAACTCTTGCTTCTGGTTTTATAAGGTTTGATAATATCTTTGCTACTGAGTGAAGCAGCTCTGTTTAGGGTAGCATACAGACCTCTTGTGTATGTCGCCTGACTAAAGTCTGGCAAGGGAGCAGAGTTTCTTTTCTCTGTCACCTGGATGGGCGATTCATAGTCTTCTTCCTCGAGGTCATCTTCCCTGCCGTACCTCATCATGCGGAGGGTGTCCTCAGTCACCAGCGAGTCTGGCTGTAAAGACATGAGTGGGTAGCCTGATCTATGATGCTCATCTCCAAAGTATCTGGTAATGCTGGAATTACCATCAATGCCATCTTGTAAGTGTAGCTGGCTTGGGGTATTGGCACTTCCTGGCACGGGATTGGGATGCCCTGGGTTGAAGGTCTTGGCACGTGAGAGAGGTCGTAAGGGTGTCACATCTATGGACGTTACATAACGAAAATCTTGCTTCAAAATATCAACTGGACTGGGGACACGCTGAGGTTCACACTCTTGCGAATTCGGAAATTCTTGTACATGTTGCAGTGGATCTGAACCCCGCCGACTCGTCTGTGGCAAATCACCAACAAGACTTCCTACTCGTGGCCAGATGGGACGTGGCACTGTAGTGGACCCCAGGTTCTGGATCATACGCTGTTTACCGAGGGTTTCCAGAGACTTGGCACGACGCAGATTCACCTCAATACCACGAACAAACTGTGGGTGCTGAGTAACAATGGTTGCTACAGGTTTTCCCCCAGCTAATATCACAGTTGGTGTCTCATTGCCTGAGCTTGCTGATACTTCAACTGGTTTACTTGTTTCAGCAACTGATGGCGTGGTCTTGTTTCCTCGACCCGCTGCTCCTTCCTTCAAGCTCGGCTTTTGGTCACTGAAGGCAGGCGGGGCAGGAGTCGACCGAAGCGCTGTCTCGACCTCTGCCCCCAAGAGATCATCTTCATCATGACCTTCTGATCTCTCGGACACAGAATCTGTCTCCTTAGAGCCATAACCTGACGACCGGACGGAGCTTCGGTCAATCGGTGGAGACTCAGGGGGGTTGTTCCCCTTCTGCTCACTGATGTTGGTCTCCTGGTTCTTGTCCTCCACATTCTCCGCATCCTCCTCATTGTACAGCGGGTTGACTCTGTAAGAATAACACACATCATTAGGCGAATATATTTACCCATTTGGGAACACCTGAAGATTAACCTAAACTCCCAGTTTATAATACCTCAAGCTTAACCATTCTGTCCCTAACCTAACCTAACCTAGGCTATCTCTATCCTCACCAACCCTAACACTAACCAAACAACCAAACCAAACGCTAACCAAACCTAACCTCATAACTATCCAGGTATCGTTATGATAGTTGATCTTCAGGTGCTCCTCACCCTGACACAAGTATCCATCACCAACAACACAGTGTTTACTGTTGTATAATTATAATATTATATTGACTTCATAGCCACAAAAACAACTTGTCTTTGAATTATACATAATGTGTGTGTGTGTGTGTGTGTGTGTGCACAGGGTGCTGTAATGCAAGCACTCCTTGCTTCCTCTCGCTTTCAGCTACCACCGTTGGCTAGCCCTCGTGGTGAACAGGGAAGCAACTTACATAGGTCTTCCCCTGCCAGTACACAGCCTCCTCACCATCAAGACTCCTGCTGTGCCTCCTCGTGGCAACACATGGTAACTGGGTACCTCGTGGGCCCAGGTTAGACCAACAGGAGATCCCGGAGTAGCAGTGGGCCCCAGAGGGACGGTGCATAGGCTCACTGGCATATGGACACGTCCTGGCGCCTACCAACCATTGCCCCGCTGCCTTGCGGATAAACCTCAGCAGGTACAAGGCTACGGGAGTAAACCCCAAACGGAAGTATAGGTAGAAGAGGTGACCAATGTGGAAACCCAGTGAGTATACCAGCATGTAACAGCACGTTTGTTTTATATTAATATCCACAAAGTTATTCACCAAGTGAGTCAACATGCTACTCATGACAGATAGCTTGGCTTGCAACTCTCTCAAAGGTCGAGTGCAGGTCAGCTGATTAAGCAAAGAACCGGCTCGCTCTGTCACACCTTCAGACGCCCAGAGAAGGTAGTACATTACCACCACTTGGACAAGGAAGCCAGACACTTAATTAAAGTGTTATCTCAAAGTGTTATTCACAACACTTCCCTGGAGAAAATTCATTATTTATTCTCTCAGATTATATCTGTGTATAAAGCTGCTTTGATAATAAATAAGAAAACAGCAAGAAGTGTTTACATCAAACCCAGCCACTTAAAGGTTCCAGAAATTAATTTAAACAATTAGTGTGATACCAAAACAGCTATCACAAGCAGATGAAGAACATATAAGATGAACAGGCAATTAAGGCGAACCCAACAAACTGGGCTATCGGCAGTCCATTGCACCTCTCTCCCCAGTTGTTGCAGCTACCTGCACCAGTAGATCAGGAAATTGGAGAGCCAAGATGTGCAGCCATCATCCAGGTTATCTTACTTTTCATCATCATCAAAAACCTTAAATCCCAAAAGTCCTATGGCGACAGATGAGTGGCGAAGGGGACAGGCAGAGAGGATTGCCAGGAATCTCTAGTCACAACTCTGCACATGGGCAGCACAGATAAGATTGTTGTTTATGCACTGGGATCTCGGCAACAGTGCAATCCGGTCCTGTTTGTGGGACTGAGCAGCTCTTTCTTGGAACCTTTCTGCAAAGGATGACATCAATGAGGCATTTTATACCGACCTTGACAGAGTGCTAACCTCTATCCCCAGAGAAGATAAGGTTGTGCTCCTTGGCGACTTCACTGCCAGAGTTGGCAGAGAAGCTAACAATTGGCAGGGAACCATAGGGAGAAGTGGACTAGGCAAGTGTAATTCCAACGGCCTACTCCTCCTCAGTGTGCTGCACACAACCTCACTATCACCAACACCTTGTTTAGGCAGGACGACGAGTTCAAGGGTTCGTGGCAACACCCACGATCCAAACACTGGCATCTCACTGACTACATCATTGTCAGAGAAAGAGATCGCCGAGAAGGCCTCAGTACCCGAGCCATGCGTGGCTCAGACCACTGCGACAATGACCATCGGCTCGTCAGAGTCAAACTCTCACCTCACATTGCCCCAAAATGGAGAAGGTAACACGTGACTAAAAGAGGTTTTAACACCAAACGACTACAGGATCAAACGGTAAAACATGCAGGGAACATCTCAGCTTTGGGCTGATAAACAACCCAAGAACAAACAACCAAAATCCGAGAGACGAATGGGATATACTCGACGCTGTCGACAAAAACTTGCAGCGAGACCCTCGGCCACATCGAAAGAAAACACCAGGAATAGTTTTATGAAAGGAACAAAGAAATCAACACACTCATAGATGGTAAACGTGCTGCTTTCATTAACTGGCAGAACAACCCTAAGTCTTGGACCAGAGATGATAACTTCCACAAAAAGAAGCAGCGGCCCAGTGCGAGCTTTGCAAACTAATGAACGAATGGCAGAAAAATATAGCCAGTGAAACAAACAAATTTGCAGATTAACACAATATACATGAATGTTTCAATTCCACTAAAACAATATATGGCCCAAGAGCGGCTCCCCTTCACTCATCAGACGGTAACTCCATCATTACTGTAAAGACAATGAAGGCATTCATCAGCGCTGGAAAGAGCACTATTATATACTGCTCAACCGAAACACCGATGTGGATGTCCTGACTACCCAGCAGGTTCATCAGCATCCAGAGCTGACCCACCTCAGCTATCCTCCATCCCGGGATGAGGAAGCTACTGCCATCAAACGGATGAAAATTAATAAAGCCTCAGGGCCTGATGGAATCCCAGCCGAGGTGTATAAAGCAGGAGGACCTCTGCTTTCCAGCCGTCTCCACTCTCTCCTGGAGAATATATGGGAAAAGGAGGAAATCCCCCAAGCTCTTAAAGACGCCTCCATCATCAATATTTATAAGAACAAGGGAGACCGGTCAGACTGTGGCAACTACCGTGGGATCTCGCTGCTCTCCGTAGCTGGCAGGATTATCGGCCGAGTCCTCCTAAACAGACTTCTTCCTGAGGCAGAAAACGTCCTCCCAGAATCTCAATGTGGCTTTAGACCATCACGTGGCACCACTGACATGATCTTTGCTACCCGCCAGATACAGGAAAAGTGCAGAGAGCAGTGTATTGACTTGAATTTGGCCTCCATCGACCTAACCAAGGCCTTTGACTCGGTCAGCAGGGAAGCCCTCTGGTGGACCCTCAGCAGTTTTGGCTGCCCACCAAATTCATCACCATTGTGAGGCAAATCACGATGGTATGAATGGAAGTGTCCTGTACAATGGCACCCAGTGCTAGTTCCTCCCCCTCTTCAGTATGTGTGCCATATATGCCTCATTTATATGTGCCAACAGTGATCTGCATTGGAGCGTTGGTAATGGTGAATTTTAAACACTCTTATCTGCTTTTACACTTTAATTAGTGAAGTAATGGATTAGTGATTTTCAGCCAAAATTTCCACAATTATCATCATAATGGTGAGAGAAAAAGTTGAACACTGAAATCATAGTTAAATAATACCTAACCTGTCCTAATAAAGGGGGGATAATACCTAACAGTGGTATTACATTTTTCTTAAAAACAAATTATGTTTACCTTACCTAACCTAACCTAAGACTATTGTAGTATATTTATAATACTTAATTTTAGTCATCGCACAGCAACAAGTTCAAATCAGACAAGTGTTGGAACGTCAGCACCGCCCCACACCACAGGGAAAAACAATGCACCTGACAAACAATTAAGTTCTCAAAAAACATTTCAATGACGTATTTTTTTTAAATACATTTGTGGAAATAACTTTTTTAACAATAATTTCTCAAACATATCTATAAATGTGTCGATGATATATAAATATAACTAATAATAGCACTGTCATGCATTTAAACTTTTTCAACTCTGAAATTTGCTCCCAGACCCGGAAAAAAAATTGGAGTGAATTTCTGGAATTTTCAGAATATGCCTCTGATTTTCAACCTTGGAAACTCGTTTGCAGACCCAGAATAGAGAGAGTTTACCCAGAAAACTCCCAACCAATTACAATGCCGGGTACTGGAGAGTTCCAGCTAATGGCGATTCCATCTAACAGAGATTTTCCTGTAAATTTAGGTAAGGTAAGGTAAGGTAAATTTAGGTTAGGTAAGGTAAGGTAAATTTAGGTTAGGTAAGGTAAGGTAAATTTAGGTTAGGTAAGGTAGGTTAAGATACGGTAGGTTAGGTTAGGGTAAGATAAATGTCATTATTCTTGCGACAGAAGAGAACATCACTACTGGTTGTAGTAAATGAAAAACTTATGATGGATGGTGTTATATGTAGTGATGATGGGTGGTGTTATATGTAGTGATGATGGATGGTGTTATATGTAGTGATGATGGATGGTGTTATATGTAGTGATGATGGATGGTGTTATATGTAGTGATGATGGGTGGTGTTATATGTAGATGATGGATGGTGTTATATGGTGTTATATGTAGTGATGATGGGTGGTGTTATATGTAGTGATGATGGGTGGTGTTATATGTAGTGATGATGGATGGTGTTATATGTAGTGATGATGGATGGTGTTATATGTAGTGATGATGGATGGTGTTATATGTAGTGATGATGGTGGTGTATGGATGGATGATGTTATATGTAGTGATGATGGGTGGTGTTATATGTAGTGATGATGGATGGTGTTATATGTAGTGATGATGGATGGTGTTATATGGAGTGATGATGGATGGTGTTATATGTGGTTATGTGGTAGTGATGGATGGTGTTATATGTAGTGATGATGGATGGTGTTATATGTAGTGATAATGGATGGTGTTATATGTGGTGGTGATGGATGGTGTTATATGTAGTGATGATGGATGGTGTTATATGTAGTGATGATGGGTGGTGTTATATGTAGTGATGATGGGTGGTGTTATATGTAGTGGTGATGGATGGTGTTATATGTAGTGGTGATGGATGGTGTTATATGTAGTGATGATGGGTGGTGTTATATGTAGTGATGATGGATGGTGTTATATGTAGTGATGATGGATGGTGTTATATGTAGTGATGATGGATGGTGTTATATGTAGTG